CCCTGCCTATGTTGCTGTATTCAGAGCTCTACGGGGTCCTAAAGATGTTCATCATAGAACCACAGTGATTATTAAAGTTCAAATGAAAGAATTAATCTTTAACATATTGATTTCATATAGATGCACTGATCCAGCACCAGGATCGGATATCAGAGCTCTTTGCATGTAGCTGATATTTCTTCCTTCCTGCTGCTCATTTTCCCCTTTATTTAGTGGATGATGATGTGGAGGTTAAATCTTCCCTCGCACGGCAGATCTACGGTTCATCCATTAAACAGAGCAATCGGATCGGATCAGATATTTACTGATACGCTCAGTCCAGGTATCAGTATCGGATCTGCATCTCTCCGATTCCAGCAGCTGGTGGTTTCCATGGCGACGGCAGGGGCTGGAAGCGGAGGCTGAATGCTGTCAGACACTGAGATGGTCTACAGCATAGAAGCTCTGAGTTCAGCCTCCAGGAAGTTCCTGGTTCAGGAACTCTGCGGGACCAGCCCGATCAGAGAACCAGGAACCAGTCAGAGAAGAACGCTGCTCTGCAGGATGTTTTCACCTAGAAGCTGCTCAGTCTGTTTGACTATGACAAGATCTGTGATTGGCTGATGATCCGTGAGGCGGGCGCTTCCCCGACCGGCCCGGTCCAACCATCTTTATCTTCTCAGGGAGGTTCTGAGCCGGCTTTGATGACCCGGTTGAAGTGCCGGATTTTACTGCATCTTAGTCAAACCAAGCAACCCTTGGACCAAAGAGGGCTGCAGCACCAGAACCAGCTGCTGGCTGACACTCCCAGCCAGGTGACTCACCTGATCCAGGTGAGTCACCTGGACCTGAGCCCCGCCCACTTGGCCTACTTTGGATTCAGGAAGAGAAAACTGATCAGATGCACTAAGGGAAGGAGGAAACAAACCCAAACTGGCTCTGCAAGCTGGCCGCAGATGGCTGGTTAGACCAGAACCAGTTGGACTTCACTATCAGACCAATTAAAACCAGTATGCAGCTGGACTCCTAAAAAAATATGCAGTGATGACAGACTGGTAGGAGAACAGTCAGAGTGAAGGAAACTCAAACGGTTCTGTTTAGGTGATTCTTTTGGATCACTGGTTCTGTTCGTTTGGTTTAAGATCCCAGTATGGGGTTTTAACTGGTTTGTTAATGAGGCTACTGGTGAATCTGGTTATAAACATCTCCAGAGGCGGGTTTCACTGCAGTGATGTCAGCATCATCAGGACCACCTCTGGTCAGACATGATGGCGTCCAGTGAGCCTCAGAGAAATAATCCAGGAGCTTTAATCTGCTCCATCAAAGGTTCATTCTACCTGCTTCAAAGTTTTATTCTATTCATCTCATTTCTTTATTCAGAAAATTCACGTTTTATTCTTTAAGTTAATTTATATCAGATAAAACCATCATATCTGTTTATTCAGTCAGCTTTTAATAAATGGGTGCATAAAATATTATTTTATTTTAAACTCAGTATATTGTTAAAAACAGATCCTTCGTTCAATGGAGAGACCTTCTGATTCCAGAGGAAACTGGTTTGATTGGATCAATTAACTTTAACTCGTTAACCAGCAGGAAGCAGCATCTTCTATCCTGATGGTTTATCTGATGACTGACCAAAGATGTTTTTCTTTGCTCTGGTTTGTGGAACAAATCCTGACAGAAGGAAAGTTTTGAAGGTCCAGTAAGGAGGATCAGAACCGCCTCAGAGTCCGGAGGAACCGAACGCCACAGCAGCAGGTTAGAGGAGAAGAACCCAAATCTGTTTCTGATCGTCCAAACTTCTCATGGTTCTGCTGTAGATCTACAGTTTGGGTTGAATCTTTTTAAACTTTATCATAACTAAAACAAATTTCTGAAACAGGAAGTTTGTTTAAGTTTGATTAATTAAAAACCAGAGTGAGACCTCGCTGGTTCTGGGTCCACAGAACGCGGACCTTACTGGACCAGTTTGATCAGAATAACAAATAAAGAGATGTTAACAGGTTGCAGAACAGCAAGCTAAAAACATCTGTCTGTTCTAGATCTATGACCAATTATTCCTCCCTAAAAGACAGACAAAATCACAGAGAGGTTCTGGTTCTGAGAAGAACCTTCAGGAGAACCAGGAGGGTCCAAAGAACCGCAAAGACCAGGAGGGTCCAAAGAACCGCAAAGACCATGATGCCACAGAGCATCAGCAGCAGGAGGGACCTGCAGACTTTGACTAGGCCAAACGGATCCTGGAAGGACTGGGATGTTGGGACACCCATCAGTCCTGATCTGGTCCACATGCTGGTTACCATGGTTACCGGTCACTGCTTTAGTCCCCCGATAACCGAATCTGAAGATCAGAGGTTTTTATAAAATGTGAACCATGATAAGACAAGAGGCTGTGGGTGGACTCAGATACTCCCACTCAGACCGAGGAAACACGCGTGGGCTGTCTCCCCTCCTGTGTGTCAGCTCCGTGGGTCTCGAATGTGTTTATCTGCTGCTAACGGGTTTAAAACCGACAACCCCGCGGCTAGCGTTCACGAGGCACGCGCCCGTTACCGTAATAACCTTGAATTAATATTTAATAAGAGAAAGGTCTCCCCCATCTGCCCGGCCCGGCTCCCCGCGGGAACAATGACGGCCACCGGAGACATTTTGAGCGAATCTGATGCTAGCATGCTAACCTTAGCATTAGCATGCTAACGGGAAAGAAAAACAACAACTGACCGTAAAACAGAAATAAATGTCCCGGAAATGGAGTTATTTAAACATCCACCATAAAACCCCTTCATTGTGTTAATTTCTGACATGTTTGAACAACAGTTAGATGTTTTAAGGTGGAATATGAGCGTTGTTAGCGGTGACAATGGGATGCTAACAGGTTAGCCGCAGCTACTTCCACTCCAGCATGAACCCTTCAGCTGATGCTTCCCAGGAAACCCCCACCCACACACCGCATCCACCCGACCACAGGCCCGCACAGCGGCTTCCACACAGCGGCCATACCTCCACTAATTCCCCGGTGTCCGAGCCCTGTTCCGGGGCTCCGCAGTCTGAGCTCCCCGGGGCCTCCGCGGCATCAAGAACCGAGAACCTTTAAGAACCTTCAGGGTCTCGCAGGCTGAAGATCCGGGGCGACCTAAAATTTCAGAAATCTCCCAGCAATAGCTCCAGTACAATGGCAGGGAGGTGGAGGCTCCGGTTCCCGCTGCCTTCAGCCGGTTTGTGCCTCAGGAGGAGCAACGATCCGCTGGATCTCCGGCAGAGAAACACTGAAACCCGGAGAACTGAACCGGAACAACGAGGGTTAACCAGAGAGAGGGGAGGTCACGGCAGCAGCAGCCCGGCCCGGACGGCTTCCTCCTCCGCATCACTGCTCACAGCAGGAGGCGGTGCGCGGTGGGTCCGCTCCCTAACAGTCCGCTGGAGGGCGATCTGGGTAAAAGCAGCAAAGGAGGTGTTCCTCCCAGCATTCAGGGGCGTAAAGGTTCAAGTGATCTGAAGTCACCTCATTAATGAAAATGAAAAACCAGAAGCTGCTGTGATGCAGCAGCGTCACTGCTTTCATAGCAGCACCAGAAAAAACAGACCCCGCCCACCAGGCGTTCCGCCAGCTGCGCCGGTTTCAAAATGCAGCGAAGACACTGAATCTATTAGGTTATTACCCATTAAGTACATTTTCGGTTAAAATATACACAAAAGTTGAAAAAATTATATATATCAACTGTTTTCAGATTTAATTCTGTAAATTACCGGTAGATTTGGAAGCCATTTTTTCTAAGGCCATTGGTCTAAGCTGTAACATTATGTCTGTAAACACACAGTTTAAAACATCTGCATGGTCCTGGTCAAGTTGCTGTTTTCCAGAAAGAATCTAATTCATGTGTTCAATTATCTCGCTTTAATTACAGCAACATATTTTCACCTGTCCTTCATCACCTACTGTCCTCTCAGACAGCCCCTCCTCTTCCTCCATCTTTAGCTGTGTCTAAATCCAGGGGTCTGCATCCTTTGAAGGCCAGGTCCCTCTAGCCCCTCATGTTGGTGGAACAGAGTAAAAACTTTATTATCAGTTTCTCTCTACGATGAAAAGATTTTCCACAATGACTCCAACAATATTTCTGCACCTGTGCAAAGACTTTAAACCTAACATAAAAAATCTCCCTGTTCAAAGTGTTAAAGTGTGCTAAATGTTTTTAAATGTTCAAGGTAGATGACAGAAACTGAATAAATGAGAATAAATTTAAGGGCTTTCTGGGACAGAGATACTTTAAAGCTTCAGGAGCAGCAGGGCTGAGTGGTGCAGGGATGGAGCTGATCTGTGACCAACTTATTTGTGCACAATAATTATGTTTTTGATAAAAATCCTTTGGCTAAAATGCCATCAGAACGCTGATAATATTAAGTGTGTCTCAGCCCCCCCCTTCAGTGTCCACCATATTGGATCAG